GTATGAGACCGCTGCGCTTGAAAAGCCGTCCATCCCGGGCTGCTGGCCGTACTTGCAGGAGGTGGCAGGCTACTCTCGATTTGAGGCGACGTGTTTGGATGTCGGCCTTGTTCGGGTTGAGTCCGCGCGCACCTTCCCATCTTGTGAGGCTGCGTGCACATCGCAATCGGACTGCGCAGGATTCCAGTTTGGCGCGCCTGACTCGTCTAAAGACATTGAACCTGTCTGCTGGGCCCTCTCTGCAGATGAGGACGGCCAGTGCCCTGGCATCTGCCGGAACCTCACAGTGCGATCGGGCACCGGCTGCGTCAAGGGCAGCTGCGAGTTTGCATCCGACGATGACCGCCGCATGGCCGCGCCTAGCTGGGGCGTTTTGATGATCAAGCAAAGCGGCTCGTGCGCCTCCGACATTACCGCGGAGTCAGTTGTTTACCGCGCAGACGGCTATCCGAAAGACTGAAGGACTGCCCAGCTAAAATCCACGCTCGAAGGCAAACTTCCCCGCCCCCAGGCAGCTACGCACGGAGGCCGGGGGGTGCCGCCCTGTGTGCCTGTACCTGTCCTGTACCTATGCGCTGCGGGCCCCCGGGCTTACCTTGGGTGTTGGGACCTCCGTGCGCCGCCTGCCGCCTGTTGACGTGTCTGTAGAGTATGCCTGTACAGTGCCTGTGTGTACAGTGTGCCTGCGTGCTGTGTGCTGTGCGGTGTGACTGTGCTGTGTGCGCTCTCCGCTGTATATGTCGCTGTCTGTGTCTCGTCATGACACCGGATTTTCTTTTCGCAGCAGCGTCAAGACACAGATTTGCCCGAATGGCGGGGAATCTCGCCGCCCCCAGCGCCACCCAGCGCCTACCAGCGCTCGCTCACAGCGCGCCCGACCCGCCGGAAGGCGCGGTCGGCGCGCGCATCAAAAACTTTGGACGTACGTCCCTCTGCGGGCCAACAGCGCCAAAGGCTGGCGCCAATGGCGCCGGCCTGATGCTGCGGCCCAGTGCAGCCGGCGCGCTACGACGACCGGCGGCGCCGCCTGCGCGCAGCCACGGGCGGCCGCACAGCCGCGCGCGGAGCGCAGCCGGGCGCCGCAACACCACCACAACAATTGCTGCGCCCATCTGCATGCTGCTGGCACTGCTTGCAGCACGAGGTGGGCGAGCCGAGGCACACGCGCGCGCGGCACCCTCGTGGCCGCGCGATTCGCATGACCATCGCACGCAGGCGCTGCCCGCAGCCGACAAGCTGAGAGCCTCTGCTGCTTGCCAGCAGCTGCTCCCTGCCTGCCTGCCTGCCTGCCTGCCTGCCTGCCGGCCAGCCTTTGTATCGACGTCCCCTACTCGCGCGACCTGCCGCAACGCTGGCGCCCCTGCAGGGGCCTGGCAGAGCGGCAGATGTGAGCCACCCCCTCGGGGTCGGCCAGAAGCCCGACGGGCGCCAAACCCACTAGTCTCACCTCTCATATCATTTAATATAATCGGCCGAAAGCCTCGCACTTCTGATGATCCTCGCACGACTAACCACCTACTCCTCCGCAGACAGGCCTCCGCAGATGGGCGCCCCCCCCGCGCAGCTCTGCGAGAGCGGGACGCCCATACCTCCCCAGCACCGAACCCACTCCTCGACTCACCTCCATGGGCTGACCAACCAGACCATTGCCACGGCGACAGGCCCGAGGAGAACCCTGCCCTCCTCTCGCCGCCCCGCGCCACGCCTCTCGCCCACAGGCGGACCCCCGATGAGGCCCTCGCCGACCGGTGCGCCCATACCCGCACAGCACCGAATCCACCGCCCGCTCCACTCCCCTCTGTAATACAGCCAGAGACACTCCTCGCGTTAGAGAGATACCTCGCGCGCCCCCCTCACCCACACGGGACGACTGGCCTAGCCCTGTCGCCTGCCGCCCCACGGTCGGTCGACACAGCCGGGTACAGGTACCATACCTTCCCCAGACCGAATCCAGTCCAGCAGCAACAGCCCCACAATGGTAGAGAAGAGAGGAAAGTAGGGCTCGAGCTGTGTGGGACGGACTGTTATCATGGTAATAGAAGCACAAGTCTCGCAAAAGCTCAGAGACGGACACGACCCTCCCGCCCGCCGCCGCTGCCGCCGCGCCGCCGCTGCCGCCCTCCGGGCCGCCTCCGGCCCCGCCACCTGCCTCGCCGCCGCCCACGCGACTGGCCTCGCCGCCGCCACCGCCACCGCCCTCCCCACCGCCCTCCCCTCCGCTCTCACCGCCTCCGACGCGCCGCCACGCCGCCTCTGCCTCCGCCCTCGCCGAGCCGTCGCCACCGCCCTTCTCGCCGCCTCTGCGGCCCGTGCTGCCTTGGGTGCCGCCTATTCCGTGGCCCTCGCCACCGCCGCCGCCGTCGCCGCCCCCGCCGCCACCGCCCCCGCCGCCTCCCGCCCCGCCACCCCCTCCGACACCGTCACCCCCCCTCCCTCCCACCATCCCTGCCGGCCTCCTCCGTTCTCGCCCCACCTCCCACACACCACCACCGACCTCCCCGCGCCCCCACACGCCGGCCCCGCGCACGGCCGTGCACGAGCTTATCGCCATTCTCAAACGAATGGCTCGGGCCCGTCCAGTACACAGCTGTTCGCCGGTCTCGTGACCGCCCGGGAGAGGCGGCGGCTTCTCGCGGCTGAGCCGGGTCAGAGAGCAGTTTACGTGGCCTTTGTTCCCTGGGAAGAGCATCTTCAGGCCGTAGCTTGGTGCATAGCGTCGGTCGTGAGGCCGACGACCTCGCCCTGCTGGCCGTGCGTGAGCTTATCTCCATCCTCAAACGACCGGGTACGGGACTGGCACTGCAAAGGCGACGGCTTAGAAGCCGTCGCCCTCACAGACGCCGTCCTCCTCACAGAAGGCGTCGTCGGACTGGTAGTCAGGCGGATGGTCGAATCCGCGAGCACCGTGGTGCTCGCAGAGAGGACCATCCCCATCATCCTCCGACTCCATCCCCTCCCCCCCCCGTCGCTCCCGCCGCGCCCCCCGCCGGCGCTCGTCGCGGGACCTCTTGCCCCCCCCGCCAGCGCCGCGGGCCGGGCCGCTCCGCAACTCCTCCAGGTCCCCCTCAGGCCTGATTGATACGTGTGTCATTCTGTGCCGGCGCGTATCTGAGATGTGCAGCCCCCCCCGCCCCCACCCAAGGCGCCCGATACCCCCCAGAATACAGACGGCTCCATTCGCGACCGTCCAGCTTTTGCCCAACGCGGCCAAACAAAGGTTACACCTCTCGATCGAGAAAAGCGCCGGGTTCGGATTAAAATGAACGCTCGGAGGCACGGGAAGCCGCATAAACGGGGCACAAACGCGAGGCTACACGTCGAGCCAAGTGCGCGCTTGGCGGACGCCCCTCAGGTGCCTGCGCGCCAGCCACCCCCCGGTGTTTTGACACCATTATTCAGTATATTAACCTCGCGGCCGCCTAGATAGGACTGAAAGACTATGACACCGCAGGGGATCGAGGCTGCTATCGCTGTTGCTGCTGGTTGCTGCTGCTGCTGCTGCTGCTGCTGCTGCTGACGGCTGCTGCTCAGCTGCTGCAACCCCGCCGCCCGCCTGCCCCCCCCCCCGCCCCCCATATTGCCCTTTCCCATCGCTGTTCACGCACACCCCAAGTATAGGCGCTCGAGTGCTCCTCTCGCGGCCTACTCGCTGCCTCTGGGGAGGAGGGGAAGACGTAGGGCTGAGCTAGCCTCGCCTTCCAACTGAGGCCCCTCCCCGAAAGGCAAGTCTTAGCCACACGAAACCGAGACCCCTCCCCCCCCGCCCCGATCCCCCCACCCCCTTGCTCCCCTCCCCCCCCTCGGGAGGGCCGAACTGAGGCGCCCGTGGGGACCCCACAATTCCCTTCCCCCCTCGGAGGGGGCCGGACGGAGGCGTACCCCGTGGGCCCCGCTCTTTCCCTCGCATAGCGGCCACTCTTCGGATCGCTGGTCGAGCGACCCGGGGGATGCCCCGCGCGCCTGACCCAGGCGCGAAAACGAATCTGCGAGGCGTGGCCGCTCACGCGGCCCGATGGGGAGGAACGGGGCGAGCCCCCTCCAACCCACCCGCGCTAGGTCTCGGGGGACGAAGGGGTCACACCCGACGACCTCGGGAACTAGCCGGGGCAGTCGGAGAAGTGGCAACTCCGTGCACTGACGGTCGGCCGCCAGAAAACACGCCTCCGTGGCTCGGGTTACACCAATCCTCGCTACCCAACGCGGCCAAAGGATATCCACCTCGAGAACCTCGAGAACCGAGGCTACAAAGACGGAAGATATCGTTGCGAATGTTTTCCCACCGAAGCTCAATGAACGGCGCCCCGGTTGTTGCATCGAGGGTGCGGGCGCTCCTCGCCTCTCCCCGCGCCCCGCGCGATGCGGCGCGTGTTGGCCTTTGCGCGAGCGTGCCCCGCCGTTTCGCCCCACATCCCATGCGCTGCAGCGCGCTCGTGCCCGTGCCCCCCTTGCTGCGAACGCCCCGCGCGCAGCCCGCTCCGAGGCGAGCGACACGAATCTGGCGCACACCCGGATCGCGGGCAGAGCGACGGCCCAGCGCGCAGCCGCGAATCGCCTCCATGCCTGCTGCGCTCCCGCGAGGCCCGACGCGAACCCGCGCCATGCTCGTCCCATTTTATGCTGCTGACGCTCGACCGCCGTCGTGCGCACGCAGGTCCACACAACAAGGTGGGGCGAGGGGAACCGCCGCGGCGTCTTGCGAGCTGGGCCTCAAGCTGCGTACGCTGCGAGTAGGTGCGGCCCTCTTGAGCCCCCTTCCTCTCTCCACGCCCCCTCAAAGACGCCTCAGGAGTCCGAACAGCAATAAAGTGGTGCTCTGCACAGTCTCCAGCATAATAGTAGCACGATGGCAGAGTAGTCCACGACCCAGTAAAGGATTCGCAGCAATGCAGAGTAGTCCGTAGTAGTAGTGATCCCGTAGGCGCTTGATCGCCGAGATTGATCCGAAGCCAAGCCAGTTTTGATGTCCTTCACACACAGCCTTCTGCAGGAACTCGATCAACATGCTCGACAAGCTCAAACTCGAGCTCGTGCCGGCCGCCGGTGACAAGCTCGTGCTCAAGCTCTCTCCTCCGCCGCGGCCGCTTGCTGACAAGCAGGCGTGTGTTTGCGTGCACGTGGCACTGCGCTCGTCCTACCTGCACGTGGCAATGCGCTCGTCCTACCTGCAAGACTTATCCTCTGGCCTTCTGGCTGACACAGGCGTCGCTGGCGGGCAACATGACCGTCAACGCTGCCGGAGGCGAGGCCGCTGGCATCCCGTCCGAGGGCAAGCCCGCTTCGCTCGAGGACGTCATCGGCAACGGCAATGACGTCCCGTCCGAGTCTGCGCCGACGGCTCCTGTCGGCATCACGTCGCTGTCGCCTTCGCTCCTCGGAGCCGAGGTGAGTGTGCGCACGCCAGGATTGTCATCATCCCTACGGCCTCCCTGTCTCCGCACACTTGCGTGTTCTCCCCTCACCCAGGCGTGCGGCATCAAGTCCGCCGCCGCCGAGGAGTTGCCGCCAAGCGCCGCCGTCGAGGAGGACCCCGAGTCGGCCACCGCGGAGGCGACCGCCGAGGAGGCCGCCACCGAGAAGGCGACCACCGAGGAGGCCGCCGCCAAGTCCGCCACCGAGGGGGAGTCCGAGGAGGCAGCCATCGAGGAGTCCGCCGCCGAGGAGTCCGCCACTGAGGAGGCCGTCGTCGCCGAGGAGGCCGCCACCGAGGAGGCCGCCGCCAAGCCCGCCGCCGCCGAGGAGTCCGCCACCAAGTCCGCCGCCGCCGAGGAGTCCGCCACCAAGTCCGCCGCCGCCGCCGCCGAGGAGTCCGCCACCAAGTCCGCCGCCGCCGAGGAGTCCGCCGCCAAGTCCGCCGCCGCCGAGGAGTCCGCCACCAAGTCCGCCGCCGCCGCCGCCGAGGAGTCCGCCACCAAGTCCGCCGCCGCCGAGGAGTCCGCCACCAAGTCCGCCGCCACCGAGGAGGCCGCCGCCACCGAGGAGTCTGCCACCGAGGAGGCCGCCAAGTCCGCCGCCGCCGAGGGGGCCGTCGCCAAGGAGGCTGCAAAGGAGGTCGAGAAGCCGGCCAAGACCGTTTCCAACCCGCCCGACCCAGCGGTGAGCGCGCCGCAGCATTCTCTCCTGGCACCCCTCGCTCTCCCACCGGCAATAATCTCCCTTCCCGTGTGCCCCTATCGCGCTTGCAGGACACCACCTGCTACCCGGGCCTGCCCACGCCGACGGCGGTGGGGGAGAGCGAGCCGGCGCCGGCCCGCAGCTCCGGACCGGGCTACGTGGTCGGCGTCGAGGCCGAAGTCCGCCGGCTGGGCGAGAGCGTCGTCTACCAGGCTACGCCCGCCGACGGCAAGAAGTCGCCGTCGCCGGGAGTCCCCACCTCCGGCGGCATTGCGCCCGTGGCGCCCAAGCCACTGAGCGCGGTCGCGGGCGCGGGGCTGGCTGAGGCCGCGGCCGCCGAGCGGCGCGAGTACTGGGAGGGCATTCGCAAGAAGGCGAAGGCCGCGCTCGATCTCATTGCCGAGCGACGGGAGAAGTGGGCGGACTTGCAGTCGCGGCGCTCGAGGAAGTGCCGGCGCAAGGCAAGGCGCTGGCGCAAGCCGAAGACTGACAAGAGCCGCGGCCGCGGCCGCCGCCCGGACCGGCGCCGCGAGCCGCAGAACACGTCCGGCAAGGCGCCATTCGCCGCTGGCACGTGCGGCGCCGGAGCTGGCACGTGCGGCGCCGGCGCTGGCACATGCGGCGCCGGCGCTGGCACATGCGGCGCCGGCGGTCGCGCCGCCCTCAAGGCGGCGGCCAACTGCGTGCAGGGCGGCTACACGAAGGCCGAGGGCGCCTTCCGGTGGCTGCTCCTCGTCTGCATGCCCGCCTTCGGCCACTGCGCGTCCGCCGTGCCTAGCCCGACGGCGGTGGCCTCGGCCTTCTCGTCTACCGTCGCCTCGGCGTCCTCGGCCTTCTCATCCGGCGTCGCCTCGGCGGCGTCCTCGGCCTTCTCGCCCGCCGTCGCCTCGAATCCGTCCTCGCTCGTGAGCTGCTCGCCGCTTCTCATGCCCGCAAGCGTGCTCATCCTCCTCGCCATCGCTTGCGGCGCCTCCTGGCCGACCGCGGCGAGCGGAAAGGGGGCTCGCGGCGCGGCGTGGGCCACCTGCCTCGCCGCCGCCACGGCGCGCCTCACCGGCACGGCGGCGCTTGCCGGCTTCTTCGCGAGCGCCTTCTCGTGGCTCGCGGCGGGTCCGCCGCAGGTCGCCGCCGCGGCCGCTGCCCTGGCCGTCGTCGGCACGGTGATGTGGCGCCGCAACTCAAAGGCCCGCCGACTCGGCTGGTCCAGCCTGCTCGGCATTCTTCTCTGCTTGGCCACCGTCTCTGGCGGCTTGGTCACCGCCGCTGGCGGCGCCGCGCTTGCTGCATCCTCAACTGCGCTGCCAGACGTCACTGCGCTTCCGGACTCAGATTTCGCTGAAGGGTTAGGAGGCCTCTCGGGTGCGCTGCCCATAGCCATGGCAACAGTTGCTGAAGCGCAAGCGGAAACGCTCCAAAGTACTGCTGATGGCGGTAAGGAGCACCGAGGCCATTTGTGCATTTCTCCACGCTGGAGTCACCAGCACACCCCGCGCAATGTGCAGGAACAGGGGGATGGGTGGCCGCCGCGCACCGTGGCCGCGTGTTCGGCACGCAAAGTTAACGCTGCTGCCGCGGCATCAGCCTGCGAGCAGCGAATTGTGACGCTCGGCGTGTTGTACTACAACAGCCCGGCCTTACTCCACAATATCATGCGCGGTTGGGCCACATGGCCTGAGAGCCTGGCGCAGCAGTTTCACTTCACCGTGGTGGACGACTGCTCGACGTCGGAGCACTCAGCGCTATCCGTGGTGCGTGCGAACAAGCCGATGTATCCGATCCGTGTGCTGACAATTCAGCCTCCTAAGATCGCCTGGAATGACGTCGGAGCCCTCAACCTGCTGATGCACACTGCGACAACGTGCTGGGCGATGAGACTAGATGCCGACGTGGTGGTGACTCCGCAAGCGGCGCGTGGGCTACTTGGGCTTGCAGAGAGGTCAGACATCGACAGCGTGCACATGTTCAACCGCGAGAATATAGGCAGCGTACACCCGGCCAATTGGCTCTTTCATCGGCAGGCATACTGGCGTGCGGGGGGCAGTGATGAGGATTTTGCTGGAAGTTATGGCTACGTTGACGCTCAATTGGGATGGATGCTGTCACAGAGTGGCGCAAAATTCCGTCGGCACCGCGACGTGAATCTCACACAAGTACCCGGCCAACTTCAGCGACGCCTTCAGCGTTACCCGGCCAACTTCTCGAAGGACAGCACGCACAACTTAGAGCTTCACCTACGGAAGCAGAAAGGGTTGGCTCCCCTGCCGACATTGTACCTGCGATTTCGTTGGCACGCCAATACCGTCACGAAAAGAGTCCGCCGTGGAAGCAGACGCAGCTTGTGATTCTGACTGCTCTGGAAAGCTGCCAGCTTTCGTGCTTCGTAAGCGCGCAGCTCGCGTGCGCCACTTTTGAGTGAGGCCCAAAGTTAACGTTTGACAACCCTCTACACACACACCGCTCACCCACGCGCACTGGGCCTTGCACTTTGAATGCCGTGGGGCTCCTGTCGTCAGACGTGGAGACGCGAGGCTCCTGGGTTGCCCCCCCTTGCCCCACCACCTCGAGTGTGTGTGGAGAAGTTTACCTTACCTTACCTTACCTCTCGCGTTTTCGCCCTGGGCGGCTGTGGGGTCGCTCGCGTATACGGCTATCTATACGGCTTTACGAGAGACCCGCACGCCGCAGTATTGTTTCAGTATTGTGTTTATGAACAAACAGTCGTGGAACCGCTACCGGCCGCACATCACTCACAGATGCTCTACTGCTACGCGAACGCGTCTCTCCCTAAAGCCGTACGAGCTACGTCGTCCTAGCCGGACGCTCCCGCGCGTCCGGAGTCGCCCCCAGAGATCTAGCCTGCTCACGCTCTACGCCTCACTCTACTTGCTCCCACGCCACCCACCCCTCCTCTGCCGGTCCCGCCCTCTGCCGCTTCGCCTCCGACACGGGCCACCCCGGCTCAGGCTGGGCCGCCTCCGCCGCCGCCACCTCCGCCGCCTCGTCTTGCTCTTCGTCTGGCGGCGGCGGCGGGGGCGGCAGCGCCGAGAAGGCTTCCGAGACGTGCTTGCGAGAGGGCGGCGCGACGAGGGCCGCGGCCGCCTCCATCGCCTTTCGGTTAGGCGGGCTGCGTGAATGCACTGGGTATCTGAGTGAAGAGATCGCCCCTCGGCGGGCTGCGCTAATGAACGAGTGAAGGGATGGAAGAGCTCGCCTTTCGGTACGCGGACGTCTTGTCGTCCTCCGCGGCGCGCGACGCCGCGGCGGCTCGAGCCGCCGCGAGGGCGGCGGCGCCCATCGGCACGATGCTCTGCGTCGGATGGTGCGCGGGCTGGCTGGGCGGCGCGGGACGCACCACCAGCGTCTCGCACTCGCCGAGCCGGAGGCGGCCGCCTGTTCACAGCTGCAGGTGTGAAGACGCGCTGCTCACACCTCGCACTCGCCGCGCCGCTGGAGGCAGCCGCCGGGCGGCACTCGTATGGGCGTCTGCTGCTGCAGCCGCCGCCAGACGCCGTCGCCCGTGTCGAGGAACGTGCCTTTTGTCGAGGCGAGGTCCGCCACGTGCAGCGACGTCTGCGCGGCGGTGGCGGGCCTGTTCACAGCTGCAGGTGTGGAGAGACGCTGCTCACGGCTAGAGGTGTGAAGAGCCGTCTGCGCGGCGGTGGCGGGCACCTGTAATCTGGACAGCCGACGGCGCGGTTGACGCCGCAACCGTACGGCCTGCGGGAGATTGGGGGAGATTTAGGGAAATTGGGGGAGATTGGGGGGATAGCGGGAGATTGCGGGAGATTGGGGGAGATAGCGGGAGATCGGGGGAGATGGCGGGAGATGGCGGGAGATTGCGGGAGAGACGGGGAGATTGGGGGAGATTGTGGGAGATTGCGTGCCTGCGGCCTCCGCCACAGACGCCGTTCGTCGGCCGGTTCTCCCAGCCGCAGCGGCAGCGCCACGGCGTGAGAAGCGCCTCGTGCGCCTCGCCGGGCCGCGGGGGGTCGGGAGGCCCGTGCATTAGCGCCGCGTGCTGCCGAGAGACCTACCACACCACCCACGGAGCTGAACCCACACTGGATTCGAGACTCTGGGGGGGTGTGGTACTTGCGGCCGCGAGACCGACTCGTCCGGGACGACGTAGTCCGCCTATCGGCGACGTGTCTCGGACATGTCGTGGACGTGTCCCGGACACACGACCGACTCGTCCGGGACGACGTAGTCCGCCTATCGGCGACGTGTCTCGGACATGTCGTGGACGTGTCCAGGACACACGACTGGGACGACGTAGTCCGCCTGCTCGCGGGAGCGGCCGAGCACATACGCCTTCTTCTGGCTCAGGTCGAGCGCCTGGTTGAGATGCATTCACTACTTGAGAGAGACTTGGGGGAGATTGGGGGAGATTGGGGGAGATTCAGGGAGTACTTGGGGGAGATTGGGGGAGATTGGGGGAGATTGGGGGAGATTGGGGGAGATTGGGGGAGATTGGGGGAGATTGGGGGAGATTGGGGGAGATAGCGGGAGATTGAGTCATCTGGCTCAGAGAGTCCAGCAATGACTCTGAACCATCCACTACGAATCACTCTGCCGCAGGCCGAGCGCCTGGACGACCTCCCCGCCCTCGACGAGGTTGACCGCGAGGCTCGCGCCCGTCCCCATCACCGCCCACGCAGGCGGTGACCAGCGGAGGTTCGTCTCCAACTGAAGCGCCTCGTCTCGCCTCGCGGCCGCCGCGTCAGGGTCCCACTTTTGGTTATAGTAGGACGGGTCGCCCGAGAACCGGGACGGCACCTGTTCACAGCTGCAGGTGTGAAGAGACGCTGCTCACAGCCAGAGGGCACCGCTGCACCGGGGCGGCACGTGCGCCGCCGCCGCCATGGAGATGGGCACCGAGGAGGCGGCTGCAAGGCCGGCGCGCGGGAGGCCGACGAGCTCGATCGAGTACGGCGGCGCGTCCGACAGCGCCAGCCTGGCGCCGGGAGACAGCTCGGTCGGCTCGTTCGGCGGGAGGCGCGCCCCGTCGACAAAGGTGCCGCGCGTCGAGCGGAGGTCGATGAGGTAGAGGCGCTCGCCGCGCGGCACGATGGCGCAGTGCTGCCGCGATGCCGTCTCGTCGTCGCGGACCACCACGTCGGCCACGTCCGCCTGCCGCCCGATCACAAACACGCGGCGGCCGCGCGGGAGCTCGTGCCGGCGCAGAAGCGTCCCGCCGCTCCGCACTTCGAGCGCGAGGTTGGCGTGGGTGGTCTCCGTCGCCCAGCTCGGCGCGGGGAACTTGGTGGCCATATGCCGTTGGCGGGTGGTGTCCGCCGAGCGGCCGAGCGGCCCCGGGGGGCCCCGGCAGCGGTCGACTGAAAGGAGGGTGAAAAAGAGAATTTTGCTCGCGCGCACGATACACTAGGCACGGGACTGGCGCGCACTGGCACTACCGGCTGGAGGGGGGCTCCCGGGGGGGGGTGGGCGCCGCAGGCGCCCTGCGACGTAGGCGCAAGAGCTGCCGCGTAGCGGCAGCGCCGCAGGCGCTGGAGGCGCCGCAGGCGCCGTAGGCGCCTTCAGGCGCCGTAGGCGCCTGCAGGCGCCGCGGAGCGGCGCGGAGCGCCGCCGGAGGCGGCGGACAGCAGGCGCGCAAATTAAACGCATTTTTTGACTCCGCGGTTTTGCCACAATCTTCAAAATCCGGGTACAAATCGACTTAGACGGCCCCGGTGTGTGGCCCCGTGTGGATCCCTGAAGCTCTCGCACGGGACCAGGGCGTCGGGCTGGGAGTAGAGGCAGCAGACAGCAGGCTGGCGGATTTTAGGGCCAGTATTGAGTCTGTCATTTTGGCACTGTATTCGGTTTTGCCTCCTGACTCTGAGATTCGG